TGCATCTTGAGATGCTAGAGAACTGCAACTTGAGCAGCTTATCTGTGGGGAGTGGCCACACATTCATGGAATGCAAACTGGGTAACATGGAACAGAGATAAATCTGCCCTGGAGTGGCATAACTTTAAGCTGCCTAAAGTATGTACAAAATTAGGGGTTAAGAACTCCCCAGAAGCTGCCCAAAATTAATGTGCAACAAGGCCCTGAGAATGTAAGCCTCCAAAGGATACAAGTTAGACTTGTCCATCTGCATAAAGTTATGAGTAACGTAACCATCATTCATACAAGTTAGCACTTTACTTAGCATTTATTTGATTAAATCCTTATTAAGTTATAGATAACAAATTTGAGTATTAAAAAACATACTCGGGGGGGGTTGGGAGGGAGGGGTTGTTTTATTACTTAAAATGATTCAATAGTACACGCACCTGCAAACGAAGAAAATTTTTGTATGACTCTTGTTGTTTAAGCTGCTGTGCAGATGGTGGTTCACCGAAAACATTACCTCGAGCAAAGGGAGAGGTTTGTGCAAATGAGAAACCTAGGAAAGGAAAAAGACATTTTTCTCAAGCAAAATCAGAATTAGTTTTGAGACAAAAAGCTAGAACACAGAAATAGGAATGTGCAGGCATGTCTTTTGCATAGTGGCTTACAACAACCATTATCCAAAGTATTACCTTAAAACCTTTCTTGCTGTAGTACAAGTTTTGTTTTTGCATGTGTGGAATTTTTAATTTAAAACATCAAGGTGTTTTTTTTCAGCTCAACCACACTGGTTGTTATGCTGAATATAATCTCCTTAAGGGCTCTCTGCAGCAAAGAAGAAGAGTGATTCTTCCTTTATGGCAGCTTTTAAATACGTGAAAAGTTCAGAGGTGCAACTACCTGGGTTGGTGCTCTGGGCAGCATCAACAGCAGAGGCTGGGCCAAACGCAACAGCAGCAGTGGCTGGGCTGGTAGCAGTGGTGACTGCCATTCTTGCACATCACATCCCCCCGCCCCCACCACCAAGTGGGAGCTGAGGGGCATAGTCCCTGTTGTCCACTCCTCCTTATGCTACTAGAAAATTGATATCAAGTGCCCCCCCTCATATATTCCATATAAAAATATATCCTTCTGACATGAACTTGACTTCTGCACAGAATGCCAAATTGAAGTGGCATATATATCATTTATGTCCCACAAAATGACACATATATAGGCACAATACAGGCGCTCTGCTCCAAGATGAATTTCTTCTTAGCATTTCATTTCCTTGCTTGGCATTAAACAGCACAAGATAGGGTCATTCCAATTAAAAATCTATTGTTATTAATCACTATATCAATGTTATCATATGACTTTGCAAAAATCTATTTCAAGATAATCATTTTTTCAAATCTCATACATGTGCAAAATCACCTTGGTTAATTGTTTTAAGTAACTAGTTCCATAAAACTCTAATTGAGGCAGAGCTACTTAATTTTTCTTTTTTTTTTTTGCCCCCATGTACCAAGAAATTGCACCTATAAAAAGCCATACTGAAACAACCTACACTGCTACATATCTTTAGCAAAGGATCTTTAGATTAAATAATTTGACAAACCCTTTAATGTGGACTGGAATAGATTTTTGGTCCATTATGCCATTTAACATGAATTTTCAGGCACTATGAAATAATATAAAGTTTGACTTGCCAACCAAGTTAACATTTTGTGTTCATCAAGTGGTGCCTCTCATTAAGAAGCCACCTCTCACAGGCAAAAAAAAAGCTATTTTCTAAAATAGCTAAAAACTATTTTCTAAATAGTTTGTGCACAAATATTTTCCTCCACAATTACTCTGCTTACATTTAAAACATGTTAATTAAATTACTTGCCTGTAATTGTGTTCTAATCTTCTCTTCATTCGGTTATGAAATAGCTGTTTAAATCAGTATGTTTGTGATTTAATCTACCAGAAAGTTGGGGGGGGGGGGGGGGGAGGGGGGGCGCAAAAAAGGTGAGGGGCGAGAACGGACGTACAAAAGTGATACCCATTGCAAAAGACTCAATTCCACACCTTTTCCATCAATCAAACAATTTCCCAAAACACACTCGAAGAAGTTGAGCACATAGTAATAAAAAGGGGCACAGACTTAGCAGGTCTCATCTAGTCCAATCCCCTGCTCAAGGGAGGATCATTCTTATCTGGAGTATTTTATGCAAATGCAATCTATTCTTTAAACAGCATGAACAGCCTTCTCATACAACTACTGGCACAATGCCCAAAATCCCAAAGACACTTCAATTTATCAAAGGTAAGCAGGGGGACACTGCAAGAACTGGAAGTAGTCTGTTAAAGAAATACATTCAAGAGATACAATAAAGAGAACCATGTTCCACCCCTGCTACAGAAGAATGCAGAACCCCACCCCCAGTCCATGCCAGTCTGACTATGGGGCAAAATTCCTTCCTAACCCCAGATGTGGTGATAGGTCTGATCCTCTAGCTAGGAACCTCTGGGTTTTTTAGTCCTAGCAGTAGCAGCAGTACACCTCAGTCAAAATTTCCAGCCAACATCCAATGCTTCTGAGACAGGTGAAAAAAACCCCTTAACACCTATAGTAGCAAGATAGTAGCAAGAACTGTTGTATACCCTAGATCCAGCTGGTTAGAGCACTTATCAGGGAGGTAGGAGACAAAGGGTTCAAGTTCTGATTAAACAGTTGGAAAACAATTATTAAGCAAGCTTTCAGGTGGGTTTTTGAATGATCCACGGTGGACCCAGAAGTGGACCGTGGACTGGAAGTGCTTCTGGTCCACTTCCGGGTCCACCGCCGAGCGCACTGGGGACCCCCCCCGCGCTCCTGTGAGGCGCTCCATCTGTCCCACCATCTCAGCGTTCACAAACTGCCTGATACCTTGAGGTATGTAGAAAAAAACATATAAAGCTGTGTCTATGGCCGAACCATCGAATCTCTCCGAACTGAATTGGAGGCTTTCGATTCAATTCGGAGAGATTAACGGGTCTCCCGATTTGATTCAGATTCAGAGATTCAGCCATCGGATCGGGCCAAATCTTCTCCGAATTGAATCAGTGACCAAATTCACGCAGCCCTAATGAGCACCCCATAACACCTCATTGCACTTCCTTTTTGCTTTTTTCCCCAGTTGCCTACAAGTAGGTGAATCCTGGTTATCAGTGGCCACATAATGAATAAGGATCATAAAATTAGAATTGATTGTAAAACATATGAAACAATGTAATAAAGCAATATAACTGTTCATTAAATCTATGCTTGTTATGAAGGGGATGTAAATCAATTATTCTCTACTGCAATGGTGGTAAGGAGAAGGAGAAATCAGCTTAATTTGTAGCAAAAAAACTACACAGACTACCTGGGAATCTGCTTCTTTGGAAATTTCTAAGAACAGGTCAGAAAAACATCTGTCAGTTGTGATCCTTGCATATTTAACATCACATTTGGGCAGAGGGCTAGACTAAATGATGTCCTATCACTAAAGTGTCAACCAAGCCCTATATTATTGTAATAATTCATCTTGTATTCAGCCCAAGGTCTCATATTTTCTACCCTCAATGCTATATTAACTTTTTTGTTGCATTTATGATAAGCTGCATCCAGAGGCTTTTCTTCTCCTCCCTCCACCCACCCCATCCATTATCTTTAGCTTATCAGCTTTTTCCATCGTACAATTCAGAATTAAAGCAAGAATACACAGTGCTCTGAGTATTTTGCATGGTTCCTTGACAGTCAGAGCTCTGAACTTCACTGGGGATTTTTGGTACTACCACAGTACTAACAGGCATTAGTATCAGTGAAGTAATAGAGATGAGTAAATACATGTTCTGTGCTTCCGTTAGTAATATGACAAGAGGAACTTCAGAAAAGAGGTGCGGCTGTACCATAGACAGAAGGAATGGCTAGCCACATCATAAAGGAACCAGAAGAGAGAGATAAGAAAAACTTGAGAATTCTGACCATCAAAACCTTATAGTATTGAACAATGATAATATTCTTTAAAATCTGCTATTTTACCTGTAGATGCTTCTGCATTCTCAGGTCTTGAGGAGGGCAAACCTAGGTCAAAAGAAACAATAGCCCTTTTATCTTCATATGGTCTTCCTTCTGGATTATGATATGCATCTTCATTTTGCTTGTGCATCATGTTCAAGTCAGCTAAAAAGAGAGGAGAAACAGCTGTTTATATTTTAGTCCTCTTAAGAAGATTACGTTTCCAAAACCAGACCGGTTTTCAAGACACACAATAGCTGCAAGAACAAAATTAAGACAACAGTACATCAGCTCAAATGAGAAAAAGTGGTCTCTGTAGCAAAAGTTGAACTGCTCCAAAAAGGAAGAGTAAAGAGTTTGAGCATGGAAAGGCTTATGAGCTGCCATGCTTAATGCAAGATAATGCCATGCAGAGATACCCCAAACCAGTTCCATGACTGAGGTAATTAGCCTTGTTCTCCTAGCAAATGACCCCAAATACAGCAATGCACCAGTACATCCATACTACTTCAAGACCCAGAATGTACAGAGCTGGCTCAGGCTAACTCTGCATTGTTTATACACTACAAGACAATGCAAACTCTGGTAAGAAAAATTATCAAATACTTTGAATGATATATAATACCGGCACTGCTAATTTTATTTCTGATAGAAATTGTGCCCACTGTACTGAATTAAGTATACATTAGTCTTCACACTCTTACTAATAATCTAGCTGCAGTGCATACTCATTTGGTGTAAGCAAATGGTATGCGTGTCCAGTTCAGTGTTATAAACAGGAGTGAAACTTGTCACCCAATATTTTAACAGATTTTTAACCCAAATTTCCATATAACATATCTATCATTATAAAGGCCAAGATTTTAAAGGCTTGAAACAAAGACCTGATCTTCACAAAGTCCACCTAATCTTTGAAAACTGGCCCTATAAGGTATCTTAAGATGGGGTCTGTGAGAAATGAGGCAAACCAAATCCCAGGATGGTAAGAGGCCTCAAGGATTATCCGATTTAACCTCCTGCGTGCTTATCCAACCTCCCCTTGAAAACCTTCAAGGAAAGAGATTCCACAACTCTGGGCAGTCTGGCCCAGTGCCTGACTTTTTTCTAAGAGTAAGGAATTTTTTCAGATATCTAAATAAGAGCAGCAGTCAATCCAGGAGCTAAGAAGTCAGCTGCACTCCTTATGAGATGGAGAAGGGGAGACTTGAACCTTGGTCTTTCGCCTCCCAGACACAGCCCAGCCACTAGACTGGAGGAAGGCTAAGGAGATGTCAAGGCTTGAACCCTGGGACTCACCTACATGAAAAGCATGCATCCTGCCACCTAGCTATACCCCTGCCTTCAGCTCTCTAGTACCTTTTCTTGAAAAGTTTGCCATCACTGCTACAATTCAGACTAGAAGTCTAAAAGCAAGATTATGGTACAAAGTTCCGATAGCACCAGTTAATAAGAACTTTTAGTTAAATAGTGCAAAATGAATTAGTTTTTTCTGGGCCAATCAAGGTTTATTTACATACCTCACCATATTACCATATTTACTTGAATAGAAGACAACCCTTATTATAAGACAGGGGTGTGCAAAATGTGGCCTGCAGGCAAGATGCGGTCCTCCAGGCCACTCTATCTGGCCTGCGGGACCCCTAAAAAATTTAGAAAATTAATAGTTATCTGCCCCGGCTGCCTGTCATGTGGCCCTCAATGGCTTGCCAAAACTCAGTAAGCAGCCCTCTGTCCAAAATAACTGCCCGCCCCTGTTATAAGACAACCCCCCTCAATAATTAGATTTTGTATGTGGAACTTTTACAAATTTGTTGTAATTTTTCTGGTATAGACTTTAATTATTAGAGGTTTGACTTCAATTTGTCTTCTTTCCACTGCTACAGCAGGGAAAATAAACCTGGGGGGTCAGATAGAAAACAGTGTGCTCTCTGCTTCCCCCAACTTTTCCCCCTAGCAGCCCCTTCCCCCTCTCCTTACTGTTACACCCTACTCCCTGGAAGTAAGAAGCACATGGAAGTAAGGAGCAAGCTTTAACACAATAACTTTGAAATTAAGCATGGCTGTAGTAATTTGTCAGTGGTAAGGGGGACCGTGCTCACTGAGCACTATCCATATGTCTTGTTCAGATGGGCTACACTAACCTAAACTAACCAGCCTCTTCTACAATAGTCCTATGCTTGCCTGGCAAGGGCAACATTGTGACTACCGAGGTGGTCTTCCTAGTCACACCTGGGGAAGATTGCTCTCCCAGCACAGGGATAGTATCTGCCAAGGTAATGTATAGTAAACTTCCCACTTGGCTGCTGGAGTGTTAAAGTCTTGGCTTTATGCCCACTTTATGGAAAGGAGAGACTCCTCCCTATTTTGTTCCTGGGGCTTTATGGCTAAGGGCAAGCAAAACTTGGGGCATCTGAACCCCAAGTCTCTGGGCTTGGGCCTGCAAGTAGGATGCCTGCAAAAGGTTTTGAAAACATATGAAGCTCCAGATGGGGGTGGAGGATGTTTGCCAGTAGTAGGGCCCACTTATGGTTCTGGACTGACTCTTGGATTTGGAATTTGTTTGGCTAATTTGGCTTGGAATATGAAAAAGTTTAATTAAAAAAAACAAAAGCCCTTTCATGGTAGTTCCCATCAGCATGTTTGCCCAATCTATTTTATATCCATGCTTAGTGTGTTGGCTACATTTAATCAAATTCATGGTTGTTTCCATTGTTAAGCACCTATTGCTTTTGGCACCACTTTAAAGACAGCCAACATATTTGTCTCGGACGGCCGGAGCCGACTCAAGGTGATATACAAACTGCTTGGTCATTTGGGCGGGCTGGTGAATGGAGAGGCAGACAAAGCGTATTGGTTGCAAAAACTTTACTTACGCCGCTAGTAGCCGCGACGCAGGTGGTCCGGTCACTTAAACAACTCCACGAGTTGCTCCAGCTGACAAGGCTCAGGCCAGCTAATCCGTCCACAAATTAAGCCGGCAGGGAAAGGGTACGTCGAAGGATTGCGCTCGGCGATGGGGAGAAGAATCGATAGGTGATCAGGCTATCAATCAGCTCAGCCGCAAGTCAGATATCTTTAGAGGCACTCTGCAGCGTGCTCAAAGTTCTCCAACTTGGGCGGAAGTCGCACAAAATTTTATACGGCCAGCAAGCCAATTACTAACCGCCACGTAGGAATAATTTAGAATTGGCCAATAGCGGGACACAAATTTGCATGCGAATGGCGGGAACTCGCTTGCCAACAAAAAACTTTTGCTGTGCAAGATACTCTCATGTGGCGGGAAAATTCCATCGTGCCGAGGCACTAAAATCATTGGGTTGTGACATGCCCACTTGCCGACGGCACAACTGGAATTTTAGACACATGAGCACGTTATAGAGAATTTTTGTTTCAGGATTTGCTGGCCTGACAGAGCTTAAGCAACCAACATATATATAAACAAACAATTTTACAGACCGGTCTTTTTAACAAACTATAAAATACAATAACTTAAACACATAATAACAACTATTAGTTATTGTCTGATTGGAGAACATCTGTTTGGGACTCCCCTCGTTTATTAGTCAGTGCACATTATTGTTGAAATAATCACCGCGGGATGTCCGTCTTCTCCCATAACAGACAATGCCAATTAAAATACTTAGCAAAATGAGAGAGGAGCAGCGCCATAGCAAGTTCTGGGCTGATGGACATTCGCTGCCTCGGCGCCCCCTCCATAGCCGTTATTACGTTGACTTAAGGGAACCGCAGTTGGGTGCTCGACAGATCTCACAATCGAGCGGCTGTGGATTACTGCTTTGTTGAAGTCGGGCCTGTAAAGAAAGAAACAACAACAGAACAAAACAAAAGAAAATCGTAATTGAATTTACTAGAAGGATACTAGGTGAACGTCGGAACGACGAGTCATCCAGTTGTGATGAACGATAATAGGGGGACGATCGGGCTTTTCCTCTAATTGGACAGAATAGGTATTAGGATATTGTCC